GCATTTATTTTCTACTACCTTGTCACGCACCCTGCACTTGTCCAAATCCACTTGGTGGTACATGTTCTTCCAGGCAGAATTAGTCATCAGACCTTGGTCATGGGCGGCTAGCAATAAGCTTATTATTATTATTATTTTTATTTTCTTTGATTTCTGGCGTTTACACATTTCTTTCCGGTGCCGCCCAGGGACCTAAGGTTAGAAATGGCATCATGACACTTTCCACTGACAAAAAAAAATTACATAGATAAAGCTCTTCGTAAAGTGTGGGCTGTACTTGTCAGAACATTTTTTGTATCTCTTTGAGGCATGGACTTCCAGGAACCCTTCAGTTAGTCTACTGGAATCTTTTTCCAATCAGTTCTAGGGCTCCAACTACAACAGGGATTGTTGATGTTCCCATATGCCACATTTTGAGATTTCTATTTCAAAGTCATTTTTGAGATTTTCTATTTCAAGTTCCTTTTTATTATTATTATTATTATTATTATTATTATTATTATTATTATTATTATTCAGCACATCATATGATGTTGGTTGCTGGTAAGAAATTTATTTTCAGGTCATTACTTGTGACTTAAAGCAGACGAAGCATTTCTTGTTTTCCCCGACAGTTTGTATCTTCCTAGCAGGCAAGTTTTTTGTTATGGTTCTATTTCCAAATCACAATCTAATATCTCTAAGCTTTTATTTCCTGTTAATATTATGCTGCGGCCCGTGTATGCGTTGAGAGATAAACACGTGTGTTTCCTGAAATGCCAACAACAAACATGGCGGACTCGGGATATGAGTCGACGTAAAGAAATGTAAAAAAAAACGACAAGAACCAAATATATAAGTACAAACAAATGATAATTTATTAACAACAAAAGGCATTCAAGTGACATAGACAATAATGGATGTAACAAATGAATGTGGGAAACCTTTTTGGTCCAAAGTATGTGTAGTGATTGAATGTACGTACGTACGTGTGTGTGTGTGTGTGTGTGTGTGTGTGTGTGTGTGTGTGTGTGTGTGTGTGTGTTGTTCATGCGTTACCTAAAGGGAACGCGTTCTTCGCAAGAGGTTACATGTTGGCCGATAAGTTCAGAAGAGAGCGATAAAAAATTATCGCAGAACATTTATAGTCCAGAGAGCGTCCCCTAGAAGCAGTTTCTGAAAATTATAAGGAAGTAACCCGACAATTATTATTAGTAGTAGTACGAGTAGTAGTAGCACTACTACTAGTAGTAGTAATAGTATTCCCTTGTTATTCTTAATTCATTTTTATTTACAGTTATATTATTGATTTTTTCATTTATTCATACTTTTATTATTGTTTATTTTTTAATTAAAATACAAGATAATATTACTGTTAAAACTATAAAATGCAAAAAACATGTGAAATTAAGATGAAAGAAATACTAGTCAAAAGTTAATAATGATTGACAACGTTTCATTTGATCAAAATTCAAGATAATAATACTACTAGATGAAAAGCAAGTGAAATTAAATGAAAAGGAATTCTAGTCAAAATTAATAATGGCGGACACTTCTTCATCGAATAAAAAAATTCAGCATAATATTACTACTAATACTAATCATTATAAAAGGCAAGTAAAATTCTGATGACGGAAATAATAATTTAAATTAATAGTGATCTATGCTTCATCTAATAATAAAAAATTCAATATTTACATTATTTACGTTGTTCGGACTGTTGTCCTCATCTTTATTGTCATGTTATGACATTTCGGTCGTTGCACGCTCTGGCCTTCTTCAGGTGATTGGAATTTCGAACGAAGACTGAAACGCCGTGCCTATGGCAATAAAGATGAGGACAACAATCCGAACAATATAAATAATGTAAATAATTATATTACCTCATCTCCGAAATATAGACAACATTGAAGAAGGCCGGGGTATACAACGGCCGAAACGTCGTGAATATGGCAATAAAGAAGAGTACAACAGTCCGAGCAACGTAAATAATATAAATATCTCATCTCAGAAATATTGACAGGTAATAAAAAATTGATATAATATTCTGTATCTGTTATTAAATTTTGACATTTAAATGTTAATTAAGATTATTTTTCCTTTGTATAAACAATCTTGATATCTTTTTACAAACACGAGTTAGACAAAATATATGATATAACAAATGTTCGTTTCTGCTTCGTGTTTTTTGCAGCAAGTGTGGAGTACCCAGTGAGTATCGAACCCACTATATTAATAAGAGTATACGAAATTAACTTGTTATTTGCTCCAAGGCGAGGTACCAGGTAAGTCACTGAAAAAAAAAACCACACTGTGATTCTCACCCTTAATTAAAAGATATAACATAGCTTCTCGGTGTCTTTTCTATAAATATTTTCATAATTGTTCTGATGAGCTTTCCGTTCTTTGGTACTCGACTTTACGAATTTAACCGCAATGCTAGATTGGCAGATAGGTCTCATCATTTTTACACTGGAAATCACTAGATGCAACCGTAATTTCTACGCTAACAGTTTTTCTCTCACTTCTTGCTTTTGAACTCACTTCCGGCTTCTTACTTTCCAATCGACAAAAACTCAAATGAAATGTCAATCGTTATCATTCTTTATTCTTAATTCTCGTTCTTTATTGTTCTATCTCCTTAATAATGTTTTTTCTATATTCTCTCGCACTCGGTAACCCACTTGCGTCTTAGTGGCTTTGTTGCCTTGTTTGGGGTAAATATAAAAGACCATAGTTGGCCCAATCGTATTTAATGCTCACGTTTGTGTATGACGCAAAAATGAAGGTAAATTCATTGATATATTTTCCGTTTTATAATCTCATTAAAAAATTGTTCAGTTCGTATAGTGTTCGATCAATAGCTATCGATACCTATCATCCTATCAATAGCTACCAATTCCTATCTTCCTATCAATACCTGTCAATTTCTATCAATACCTATAACCCGATCAATAATTAACAATGCCTATCATCCGATCGGTACCTATCAATAATTCTCTCCCTATGACTAACTATCAATACCTATCGATAACTATCACCCGATCGAATCCTATCAATACCAGTCAATACATATCACCCGCTCAATACCTATCACCCGATCAATTCCTATCATCAATACCTATCATCTGGTCAATACATATCAGTACCCATCATCATATCAACCGATAAATGCCTATCAATAACAAAACATCCTATCGATACCTATCAATATCTATCATCCGATCGAGACCTATCATTCGATCGATAGATATTACTTACTATCACCCGATCAATACCTATCATCTGATCTATACTTCTCAGCACGCATCATTCTATCGATACCTATCTGTTATGGTCCGGTTCCTTGTACCACGGTGATAATCCAAGGTAGAACCAATAAGGAAGAACTCGAACACGAATATGGAATAACACAAATATATTACAAACAGGAATATATACAGAGAAGTAGAAAGTGTTAGTACGAACAATCAGGTTTAGTAGAGAGAACAATGTAGTCTCGACCAGTATCACTATTCCAATGTCTTGCAGTAATTGTCTGAACGCGACTCTGTTTCGGACTGCCTCTGACTCGACTCTTGACTCGACTTGAACTACTGACGATATTCAGTCACCCTACCACGAGGGCGTCATGTGGCACAAGGCCTTTTTAACGTGGGCTCTCCGAGCCCGTGGGCTCGGCCAAAAATATGCCCTTTGAACCCGTATAAATGGGTTCAGGGTCGGTTTACCTCACCGAAAGAGAATCCGCCCTTCGGCGTAGCCTCTTTCGGGTTCCTCCCAGCCCGAAGGCAGAGAGTTCAACCGATCTGTCGTTCAAGAGTTGAGCGACGGACTCCCTGCCTACTCCTGAGGCGCAGTATTTATTAAGTATGGAATAGTCCATTATTATTATTATGGGTAAGATCCCATAACACTATCATTCAATCAATGCCTATTAATAGCAAATATTTTATCGATATCTATCAATACCTATCATCCAATTGATACCTATCATTCGATCAATAACTATCAGTGACTATCACTCGCTCAATACCTATCACTATCTAACAATACCTATTAGTGCATGTTGCGCTCCCGTGCAACACTGGACCACCTTCAATGAGTGGCAGCGACTGAAATTAGTGCTGGTGTTGTTTTTGTTTCTTTTTTTCCAAATTGTTAGCCGTGACTAGTGTTGCGTTTCGTGTCATCACTGCACCCCAAAGATACTACATTGATGTTATCAAGGAAAAACGCTCACTTTTTCCTACTTGTTTTATTAGAGGAGGCGGGGCAGACATGGCAGCATGGATTCTAGGAGGCAGCGGAAGGAAGAACTTCAAGGGAATGCATGCCGCTCTTTGGCTCAGCGTCCCTCCGCGTGTAGTCTGGGCGTCGGAGGCTTATCGACTCTTCAAAATTCCTGCGGTTGAATTTGCGCAGTTTTGGACTTATAGCCAAAACTTAGACAACGGCAATCCATCACCGTGAGAGTACTCCACCTACAAAGTATTCTGACCACTCGCTAACCATCCCGGCCCAGCCTCCGCATGCTGTAACTCAAGAATGGTGGTGAAAGAGAAGCATGGAGTAGCCTTTTCTCAAGGCCATTGTTTCAAACATCAGTTTAATATCAAAATTGCTGGGAAAATACATGATTGAACTTTGCTGATTTCAGCAAAAAGTGGACGAAAATAATGGCGACTGAAATAACCTTTGTTCGATTTCCAATGCGTTTTTTGAGCGGCGAGGTTCACAGTTTTAGAGATTAAATATGAAGACTTTTTCCTACTATTTATAACGGGATAAGTTTTATATACTCAAGTTTTCTTTCTTTGAATCATCTCAAAATTTTGGCACTGATGTAAATATTTTGCAATATGCGATTGCTTAGTATTACGCCCGACCTATGTAAATAATAGACAAGAATGTAACGCTACATTTCAACTTAATTTAGTAAAATGTAGCTCCTCGATGTGTGTGATACTTTAAATTACTTCTGATTAATTGCTTTGCAGACAAAAATTGTATGTTTGATATTAATGAACAGTTGATAGATAGATATGAAAAAACTGAAATAGATAGATATATATATAGAGAGAGAGATAGAGAGAGATAGATAGATGGGAAAAAACTGAGATAGACATGAAAAAACAGATAGATATTAATAAACTAAAATAGATAGATGTGAAAAGACTAAGATAGATAGATTAAAAACTTACTACAAAAGATAGCTAGCTAGCTAGCTAGCTAGCTAGATAGATAGAGAGAGAGAGAGAGAGAGGGGGGGGGGAGAGATTTTACGGTTTATCAAACTTTGCTGTTATTTAAAACCAGAAGATGTTTTGGGATTGTAAGAATGTTTTAAAGGTAATCATGATTTACTGGTATAACTCCTACTAATTAACCCATGACATGGGGGAGGAGAGGTGGATTCATACTTTTCCCAAGAATATTTGCACGTAACGGAATACAACGAATCCGACTGGAATTGGAACATGGTTCTCCGATTAATAATTCCGAGCCGTTATCCATTACACTATCTGCACATCCAAGCTTACAGCGGCTTGTATTCACAAGTGATCACCCATCTAGATAGTGACCAGGCTCAACGTTGCTTAAATTCTGTCGGCGAACGGGAACCGGTACCTCAACGAGATGTGGCCGTAAATAAGTAGATAGATAGATAGATATCCGTCTATGAAGATTTGCTCTGGCTAACATTATAGACACATTGTCTAGACTGATGATTCCCTTATCTCGACTGAAGAAGGCGTGGCTAGTTAGATATGGTGAGGGGACAGATTATTAGCCATATAGGAAGACTTTTCTCTCCAAGTCGGTGAAATGGTTCAGTGGTTGCATTGATATATTTACATTAACACACACACACACACATACACACACACATACACACACACACACACATATATATATATATATATATATATAGAGAGAGAGAGAGAGAGAGAGAGAGATTGATAGATAGATAGATAATATTAGTGGTCAATATATATATATATATATATATATATATGTGTGTGTGTGTGTGTGTGTGTGTGTGTGTATATATATATATATATATATATATATATATATATATATATAAATTCTCAAGAGGATAGAATCCAGGTAGAACTCAATGTCCAGGACAGAGTAAGAATGTAATATATATGGCTCAAACACTAATATTCCATGGTTATAATTTATTATATTGGAATCTTAATGACGATCCAATTCATCAGACCTACAAATTAAAAAAGAAATCGGATTTTTTATATATATATATATATATATATATATATATATATAGAGAGAGAGAGAGAGAGAGAGATGGGAGGTAACATTTTGGGAAAATAGTTTAGGTTTCACAAAATAAGTGTTATATTTTAGTGGAAGCAAAGATTGCGAATGAAGGATTAATTTTTATGCTGACAGGAAAATATGTTATGTATTTGAATCTTGAAAGCAAGACTAAAAGAGCAATACAAGACCGACCCTTTCTTCACCTCCATAGTCTCTTGGGCCACATTCATGAATAAATATCTACCTACGTGTGTGAGACTCTGTGTGTGTGTATGTGTGTGTGTGTGTGTCTTCGTGTGTTTCGATAAATATAACTTTCTGTTCACGCACACGCAACCAAATAAACATTCTAACATTTCACGCGCAAACTCTTTTCCTTTTGTCTTTCCTAAGTGAATTGTTTATTTTGATTCAAGATCCGACCCAGTATATAAAACATTTAAATATCACTGGGTCTCATCGCATACACACACCTTAACATACGATACCATGTATGTGTGCCCAAAAGAAAGGGAACTTGGCATTTTCAGGGATAAATATGCTTTCTGAAGCCCAATCGAGAATTTCTATAGAAATTTAATAAATAATTTTTTAAAGTCGTTATATTTTATTTGTAGGAGGAAAAGATTGAGGAATCGGAGATTCGAGTTCGAATTCCGGTCGGATCAATTACATTCATTTAAAAAAAGTATGAATCACCCTCTTCTACCCCGGCTATGGATAAATAGCAGGACGGACTGGGTTCTATAGCCTTGGGTGGAGAAGTAGACTGTAACTCTGAAGTCATTATATTTTATTTGTAGGAGGAACAGATTGAGGAATCGGAGATCCACGTTCGAATTCCGGTCGGATCAATTACATTCATTTGAGAAAGGTATGAATCATCCTCTTCTCCTCACCCAGCTATGGAAAAATAGCAGGACAGACTTTTATTGGAATTTATGTGGAAAATAAACATCTTGATTAAATTATTATTTTCTCTACTACTTAAGTTTCTACCTATTTTATTGTTGCTCTTGAGAGTGTTCAAGTAATGTGGTGTTTCTTATTTTGTATATATCTTCGTTTGTGATTGTGTAGCGCCAGTCTGCCCAATCTGATGAAAGATCGGCTTCTCGTTTTTGGATTTTTTTTTTTTTTTTGTGAATGAATTTGGGGGTGGTATAGTTTGTTTGCTCGGATTGATGGAATCGAAGAGCCGGGTTCGAATTCTAGTCGGATTAATTGCATTCGTTTACGTGCTAATACCCTTGGGAAAGGTATGAATCTTCCTCTTCTCCCCACCCAGCTATGGGTAAATAGCAGGACAGACTGTGTTCTATAGCCTTGGGTAGAGAAGTAGAAGGTAACTCTGAATTTAAAACCGGCCTGAAGAAGGTTGGACTCCGTCAGGCTATTATGCCCAAGAAACACCACTTCTACTATGGTTGCCCGTCCTGATGGTTTGTCACCTTGACGTGGTAGGACGGCTTGCGTGCTTCAACAATCCCAAGGGATATATCGGCGGGGGCTTTGGTGCTTAGCAGGTCCAACCAAGCTCAGCAAGTCTGTGGGATAGAAGCCAGACGAAGGACACACGCTTGTCCTCCAGATTGGGGATTGTGCAGTAGGCTAACAACCTACTCACTTAAAAAACTAGCTTGTTACAGAAACTTCAACGTTATCTTCAAATATTTAAATGGCCGAGGAAGAGTCCTCCAAAGTGGATCGTATGACGCGTGCTGGTAAAAATTCCCCGGGAAGGCAGCCAGCGCGACATGGGCCAAGCTGAAGCTGATCGACCGAAACCGCATCCGTTGGAGAGGTGTTGTTGCGGCCTTATGTTTCCCAAGGAATTAAGAGGCATAATGAAATGAATGTAGATTAGTACAAAACAATTTTCCTTCATTTTTTTGGAAAAATTAAAAGTTTTATTATTTAACATACAACATACTGCCTATTTTATGCATTTTTTAAAAAACAATTTATTGATTAAAAGTGATCTCTAGAAACCTCAACGATATCTAAAACAAATATGAGGAAATCAAGAGGCATAATAAATGACTGTGGCTGCTGAAGGGATGGATCACGGGATTCACGATGTTTTAATAAGTAAATAGAATTAGTATCTGTCCATATTTTTGAGATGAGTTTTATTATTAATATACAACTATTTATATTATTAAAATAAAAACGTCGGAATATTGTACTGCCATTTTTGTCGCCATATTTATTACATCGTTTCGGTGTGTTGTAGGACGTTCCGGCCTTCTTCAGTATCAGTCCATATTTCTGAGATGAGGTGTTATGTACACTATTTGCATTATTTGGACTCTGCTTTGCAGCCAAATTTAATCTGCACAAATGTAAATGCAATGTCAATCGCTATCTAGTCTTCCTGATTACTTTTTATTGTTCTGAGATGAGCTATTACTTAGCAATGTTTCTCATTTTTTGTCGCCATATTTATAACATCGTTTCTACGTTCCCCACGAATTACTATATATATATATATATATGTGGGGGGGTGCAAATGATAATGTATTAACAACAAAAGTTTACAAGTGACAAAGACAATAATTTGTGTAACAAATGAATATGGAAAGTTTTTGGTCCCAAAAAGTGAGTAAATGTGCGTACATACGTGTGTGTGTGTGTATTGTTTATGCGTATATATGACGGTTCCGTATAGGATAGAGGTTCGATTCCTGTCGGAGGACGCATATTTTCTATGACAGTTTCTCGGACATTCAGGCCGGTAAATGTTATTTAATACTGTTTATTATAAACAGAGCATTTACTTAAATACTTGTATCTATAAAAAGAATGTATAAACATAAAAATGTCTTAAAATAATTGTCGGACTTTGTCCACTTCATAATGTATGAGATATTATGTACACTATTTACATTATTGGGACTATTGTCCTCATCTTTGTTGCCATATTTATCACAACGTTTCGGCCGATGTACGCTCCGACCTTCCTCAAGGACACATGGCACAGTGGATAAAGGCGTTAGTTAGATCCAGTGGCAGGACCCAAAGAGTTGTGAGTTCAATACCTGTTTAAGGCTGTGGAGAACTTGGAGAAGGGAAGTAACAGGAGATAACTGATAACTGACATCTATTAAACATGGAAGGTGGATCTAGAACAGTCTACCTCAGCGAGCGAAATAAAGGGTTCAGTTCGACATTTCAACCACCTGAAGAAGAAATATAGACAGATACTGAAAGGCCGAAACGTTGTAATAAATATGGTGACACAGATGAGAACAATAGTCCGAATAATGTAAATAGTGTACATAATACCTCATCTCAGAAATATAGAAAGATACTGAAAGGCCAAAACGTTGTAATAAATAAGTAACAAAGATTAGGACAATAGTCCGAATAATGTAAATAGTGTACATAATACCTCATCTCAGAAATATAGAAAGATACTGAAAGGCCAAAACGTTGTAATAAATAAGTAACAAAGATGAGGACAATAGTCCGAATAATGTAAATAGTGTACATAATACCTCATCTCTGAAATATAGACAGATACTGAAGGGCCGAAACGTTGTAATAAATATGACAGCAAAGATGAGGACAATAGTCCGAATGATGTAAATAGTGTAGATATCTTTAAATGTTTAATTCTTGTGCAAGTGTTAACTTCGAGTAAAGACGTGAAAATTCTTTTTTTCTAACAAAACTTGAGCAGGACCCAAAATTAACTTTACAAACAATGGCAGAGGAATGCCAAAGAATTTTAAATTTAAAACAAGATACTGAAAAATTGAAGGAAGGAATATTGTACAAGTGCACACAGTGCGGAACAAAATGAAAATGAAATGGTAAACAATCCGAACCCGTGTCACAGTTGCAGAGGACTTCATTTTAAGGCGTATTGACCCTTCAAAAATAAAAAAGTGTTACCAATGTAGAAGACTGGATGGTAGACAATGTCATTGCAAATCAAAGAAAAGAAAAAATGTAAGACATTGTAATACAGTTACATAAGGTACAAAAAAAAATTGAAAAAGTATTGCCAGAGCTGGCCAGATAAAAAAACGGTATGTTTACTTTTAAGGAAATTGTGTCCATCGTCATTACATTTTACCTGAAAAACCAGGAAATATTACGTTTGATGAAATTGTGTTAATATTGTCTAAAATTTTCAGTGAAATAGTTGTATTGACAACACAAAAATCTGAATAAGGTCCTGAACAGAAAATATGTGGTAGTTAACTTCAATTGGACACAGGCAGCATCATTTCTATAATTAAGGAAAAAAAAACTTTGAAAAATGTTGGTGAACCTACATTTATAAAAACCAAAAGTTGCACATAGCGTCTCAGGGAAAAAATATATATTTCCGAGGCGAAATTGCATGTAATGTCTTGTGTGTCGGTAAAACATTAAAAACTAAAGCATACGTATTTAAAAAAATAATACGTTGAACTTATTGGGCGTGAATTTGATGTTACTGATCGATCTGTGGGGTCTGCCTGTAAATTGACCCTGTAAGAAAGTGAGTGAATTGCTCCTTCTACAAAACAAATATGGCGACTGAAATTTTTTTAAAGGAGTTAAAAAAGAATTTTTCTACAGTGTTCGCCGAAGGTCTTGGAAAATGTAGTAAGACAAAGTCAATTTTTCACTTAAAGGAAAATGTACTTCCTGTTTTAAAACCTAAAGGTAGTGTACCTTTTGCAGTTGTGGACCTCATGAGCAAAAAAACTGGCCATATTAGAAACTCTCTCGAACAGACTATTCTGAGTCGGCAGCTCAATAGGATATGTGAAAAAGAAGAATTTCGTGTATGCGCAGATTTTTCTACAGGATTAAATGAGGGTCTACTACCTCACATATGTCCATTACCATCTCCAGAGAAATTGTGCCAAATTAAATGGTGGAAGATTTTATTTCAAAAATTGACCTGTCAGACGCATACTTACGAATTGAAGTGGATGAAAAATGTAAAATAAATTGTTAACATAAGGGTGTGTACTGTTTTGATAGATAGATAGATAGATAGATAGATAGATAGATAGATAGATAGATAGAGAGAGAGAGAGAGAATTTGAAGAGACTGAGAATAGAGAGATAGATAGAGAAAGGGAGAGATAGATAGATTTGAAGAAACTGAGAATAGAGAGCGAAAGAGATATGAATAGATAGATAGATAGATAGATAGATAGATAGATAGATAGATAGATAGATATAGAGAGAGAGAATTTGAAGAGACTGAGAATAGATAGATAGAGAGAGAGAGAGAGAGATTTGAAGAGATTGAGAATAGAGAGATAGATAGAGAAAGGGAGTGATAGATAGATAGATTTGAAGAAACTGAGAATAGATAGAGAGAGAAAGAGATATGAATAGATAGATAGATAGATAGATAGATAGATAGATAGATAGATAGATAGATAGATAGATAGATAGATTTGAAAAGACTGAAAATAGATAGATAGAGAGAGAGAGATTTGAAGAGACTGGGAATAGATAGATAGATAGAGAGAGAGATAGATAGATAGATAGATAGATAGATACATACATACATACATACATACATACATTTGAAAAGACTGAGAATAGATAGATAGATAGATAGATAGATAGATAGATAGATAGATAGATAGATAGATAGATTTGAAGAGATTGAGAATAGATTTTCTCCCATATCCCCACCCAAAATCTCTAAACATTAACATTTCGAAAAATCACATCATTGTGCAGTGGTTAGCGTCGTAGTTTTTTTTAGTCTAGTTAAAGAGAAATAAACTTTTCGATATTCACGTTTTGTTTATTTATGTACTATTACGTAATTTGTCTTGTTTTCCGCTGTGTTTGTCAACGCAACGTTTTATTATATACTTAAAAACCGTTAATTTGTTTATGCTTCTAAAACACGTAATGTATATAAATACCTATATACGAACATTATGTTACAAAAGTTGTCATAGTCGGAGTTGGTAATGGGGACAAGTTCTATAAAATATACTTCCGTAGCATGCGTCTCAAGTAGCCTCTGACAACTATGTCCAGCATCTCCAAGCCGGAGAATGGGTGACGGCGGACAACTAGCGCTTTATAACGAGCAACTTCGAGTAGATGGGACTCGACAGCTCAGGAAGTCAGTCCATCTAGTGGAAGGAAAACCCTGGTTTTAAACCTACGCTGCCTTGCGATCATAATCAAAACACATAAAAGGCGATGGAAGTAAATCCAGACAGAAAAACCGAAAAGGAGTCCCAAAGGCGGTTGGCTGTCGGCACTTTAACTTCTGAAAGGAAGGATGGGATAACCTCAGTATCAGTTGTCAGATCCAGGGGTGATAGTGTGTACAAGTTCCTACTGTCTATATAATGCTAATGTAGCAACTTAGTCTAGAGCTGCAAGCCGGAGAATAACCGACGGTGGTAATCTGGTGACTGATAACTAGCTGATTCGGGTAGATTGGATATCTAGAGTTGAGGGTGGCAGTCCATCTAGGAGAATGAAAATCCTATTTTAAACCTCCACTGCCTTGTGGTCATCTCCAAACACGAAACTCGTAATGGGGCCCAAAAGCCAAACCGGCCCAAAATATAATGCCCTGTATTCCTTTGGATCTTGTCGGTACGGCCAAGAGGAGGAGAGGTCATTTAGTCTAAGCAACGGACGACCTCCATATACTATCGCCAGAGAAGGAGAATGAAGGAGAAGGAAAATTTAAACCACCAGCTGCCTTGCAGTACTTGCCTCTTTAACTTCTGAGAGGAGGGCGGGGTAAGCTCAACATTAATTGTCAGAGCCAGGGACGATATTGTGTACAAGTTCCTACTGTCTATATAATGCTTATGTGGCATGCATCTCAGATAGCTTCTGGCAACTTAGATTAGCTGCAATCCGGCAGAATGAGCAACGGTGGTAATCAGGTGACTCGTAACCAGCTGATTCGGGTAGATTAGATATCTAGAGTGCATCTAAAATCCTAATTTTAAACCTCCGCTGACTTGTGGTCATCTCCAAACACGTAACCTATAATTGAGCCCAAAAGCCAAACCGGCCCAAAATATAATACCCTGTATTCCTTTGGAACTTGTCGGTACGGCGAAGAGGGGGAGAGGTCATTTAGTCTAAGCAGCGGACGACCTCTATATACCATCGCCAGAGTAAGAGAATGAAGGAAAACTTTGAATTCTAACCATTTGTACGTCTTGCTTCTTTAATTTTAAGAGAGGAGAGACCGGATAATCTCACCATCCCCAGCGCAAGGGGAACCAGCAAACCATAGCACTATTCTGCCTTCAATGTTACTATGAACCACAATTGTGAGCTGGAGGGAAATGGTAACCACAGCGGCGCAATATGCGCTGACTGAATAAATGAGTTAAAGAGAGATCTCTAGCTGAGATGGAAGCTAGTGAGACCACCGACTCGGCAAAAAAAAAGTTCGACTCCAAATAAAATCAATAAGCCTAAATCCAAATTGGTAATAACTTTCAGTCGAAAGCTCGGCGCAGCATAATCTTCCTCCACACTATCAGCGCATCGTATAGCTTCGAAACTAGTGAAGATCATGTGGTATCTCTATGTATCTACTTGTTGCAAGATCGGATATTTGCCTATATCTTTTCACCGTCATTGAAATATGTTGCTACTTTTAATGACGGTTGAGCCGCAGACATCATGACGTTACTCTTATCCTTTCCACAGATATATGTGCTTCTATCTACGAAAATGTTACGGTTTTTTTTTTTTTCTTTATTTTGCTTTTGGCTTTTTTTTTTCTCGCGTGAATGTTATTAAAACTGCGCCAATACAAATAAAAACGGTTCATAAACTTGTTGATATCTTTTGCTACGCCTTGCGTCTTGATTTATCCAAAGACGAAAAAGGACTGGAGTGGAATATTTATTTGAGGTGGCAACAGGTAAAGAGCTCTCAATCAAAGATCGACTATCTCTCAGAACTTCACGCCATATCTCTCGCTACAGCAAAACGCATAAAAGAAAATGTCTTCTAACAAAAAATGGCCAACAATGTTTGAGAAGTGTACAGAAAAATGTCTGATATTATTCAACACGTTCGCACAAACATAGACTAGAATTTATATTTGTTTATATTGGGGAGTGTCAATCTTTCTGAATGTTTGCACCTACAATGCGAAGCAGGGTGGGGGCAAGGTGTAAGGGTCTTGTGGTTCCAACACCCACCCACCCTGAATCTATATTTATATACAGCAATATTCAAAGCATTGACGAAAGGTAGATTTATAAATATGTAAGACAGATTCTGGTGAAAAAAATTGTCTGGCGCGATACAGTGAATCAACTATCCTAGCAGCAGATATAACAATTGATTTCATATAGTCTTTTCACTTCATGTTACCGGAAAACGTTAGCCCAAGATGTCTCAATGTGTCGCCCTCGTGAAGGTTATCATGGTGGAAGGCAAAAAAGGGTTTTCTCAGACAATTAAAAGAGAGCAGTTTTGTTTTAGGGGCGTTAAAATTAACAAGCCATTTCTTGCCCCTGTTAACATCAGATAGTAGGTGATTTTATGAATCAGTTCCAGTTTGACCTTATCAAACCGATAAGACTTACTAGACAGGGAGTAAATAGGGGTGTCAACAGTCTAGAATCGAACTGAGAATTGATGCCCTCGGGAAGGTCGTTGATGAAAATTAAGAACAGTGTAGGTCCAAGGATAGAGCATGAATGAATGTATGAGTGAATGGCAAACTTAAAAATAACGACTTATAAATAACGAAAATGTCTTCTATCAAAAATGGCCAATAAGGTTTAAGAAGTGTACAGAAAAATGTCTGATATTATTCAACACGTTCGCACCAACATAGACTGGAATTTATATTTATTTATATTGGGTAGTGTCAATCTTCTTGAATGTTTGCATCTACAATGTGAAGCATGGTGGGGGTAAGGTGTAAGGGTCTTGTGGTTCCAACACCCACCCACCCTGAATGTATGATACTTATATACAGCCATATTCAAAGCATTGACGAAATGTATATTTATAGATTCTGGCGAGAAAAAATTGTCTAGAACGACACAGTGAACCAACTTTTCTAGCAGCAGATCTAGCAATTGATTCAATATAATCTTTTCACTTCATGTCAGCAGAGAATGTTAGCCTGAAAAGATGAAACGAGCCCCTAACCTGGAGGTTAGCATCAGCCATGCCGATGGAAGGTAGAAGGGGGGGGGTCTCAGATGATTAATAGAGAACAGAGAAATAGATTAATAGAGAAATTAACAAGTCATGCTTTGCTCCTATTAACAGCAGATTTTCGGTTATTTTTGCGATCAGCTGCCAATTTGACTTTATTAAAACGATCAAATTTTCTATTAAGACTGATATAAATATTTATGTCACAAGAATACAAACGTGGAAATAGGTGGCACCAGGAAAACCTTTCAAAAGGAATAGATATAGGTAAGAATATTTTTCAGAAACATTCTTACATACTGAAGAATGATTGCAATAATGATTCTTTTTTTAAAGAAACATTTTTACATAGTGAGTAATGATTTCAAGAATGAGTCTATTTTTAGAGTAGATATTGCATTAACAATATTTTGACAATAATGATTGCTCCTGTTATATATTTAATCTATATCTGGAGGAAGAAGATAGATTTATACCTTTCCCAAATTTATTTGCGCGTAAATTAATGTAATAAACATGACTGGTTCAAAGAATCTATAAATATCCGTCATTATTTTGCATTGTAATCTATACTCCATACTTGCTATGGAAGCCCCATACGCACGGCCTTGTGCTACGCTTAGTCAATTATTCTGCCAAATTTCGATCACTTCGACGTGGTGTAATGGTTAGCATGCGGGTCTCACTAGATTAATTACGACTAAGTACCGACTTAAGTCCTCACAAAATCTTATTATTATCTTATTACTAAAAAAGAATATTAGTTTAAATCATGCATTTCTGATTCTTTTTGCTGCCTCTTTGAATTTTGCAGAAAGAAAAAGTTAGTAGTCGTTGCAATGATAGACTTTTTTTTAATTCCTGCCATATCATGAGAATTCCTAAAACAAGATTTTCTTTTTGTTCAAGCAATGAACCACAACTATTCTCTCACTTAAGAATTTAGTGAAAGATCTCGTTCAACCAAAATGCCTTTTGTCCATTATCAACATTTTTTTTTTAAATCTACAGGTCACGAGCAAGACGATTTAAACTAAGAGAATGTTCTTCCACATTGTACAAAATTGATTATTGCCCACTTTGCCAAAAAAGGGGTTCGAAGACGCCAACGTAATGGAATGATAAACAGCTTCCAAATATTAGACTACTATTAAAAACTGTTGCATGTTGAAATCGAAACGTTATAAAAACTGCCAAAACTACTAATGAAAGATTAATGAAGCTTATAAGATGTCAAGGAGCCCATTTTAGCGTGGGAAATAATACAAGAATAACTTATTCATTTATACGAGATTTTAGGTTAATCAAATATTTTTCTGTCAACTATATGTTTTGGAATTATTAATAAAACTTTATGTAATACTTGAATTTTTTAATGTTTTTTTTTTTGTTTGTTTTTTGTGGGTGTGTTGTTTTACTTTTTCTTGCATAATAAAACTCGACATCCTAAAACAATTTATTATCAATATTTTTAATAAGATATATAATTTGAAACATATGCGATATTTT